AGTATTTATCCGAAACTTTTGAACAGACAGTCGGTAATGCCGAATGTGATTTGACGGCGCCAAAGATGTGTTTTAATGCAAGCCGGATACCGAACGAACACGAATTTGGGCCCCAAAATGATAGAGCGCAAAAGGGTCCTAGCCAGAGGCCGAAAGGAGGCGAATCGCCTCTACCAGACAGATAATTACCACTTACATTTCTAGGCCTCTGCAGACGTACGCGTCATTATATATTTTTTATGCCGGAAACGTTGGCCGTCGCTTTTTCGAAATGTGACCGAATCTTACATTGTTTTAAACGTCTTCGGCACGCCCCTTCGCATAATTGACACGCGATGCCCAACTTATCAATTCCTTCCAGTTGCTCTCCAATAACAGGACAGATGTGTTTTTCCTTAAGTTACTGTATATGATTTTTTCAATAAAAACTTGCTGGGAACGTTAGAAGATCGATGCTGGAAGTCCAAAGTGGACAAACCCTTTTCAATTAAACGGGCCAAGAGAAGCGAACGATCGAATCAGATCATCCGGTCAGGGCAAACTTATGGGTAATTTAGTCAAATTCAGCACGAAATCGCCCTATGCAGCACTTCGGGAAATGAAACACGAATCATCAATAGTCGAAGAAATGTTAATGTTAAACGGAAATTGTTAAACACACCAGTTGCGTCGACGCTTATGAAAAACAACAATTTTTGTCTTTTGAGGCGCCAACACTTACGAAGGGAATTTTAGTCCTCAAGTCGCTCTATCGGAAAGTTTCTAATAAATATTCAGATAATTTCCTATACCGATGTTAAAGAAAAAGTTGAAAAATTCGACAATTTCGGCTTCAGTTGCTGTGAGATTGGAACTTTGGCTCAAGACTATTCGATAGGTACATCGCAGTGGTTCTGATAAAAACCAAATATTTTAAGCACTTTTTTGGTCGATTGCTTTAGCCAATAGTAGAAAGTCCTAATAAAGTGCATGGTTTAAGTGGTAATTTAAAAAGCAATCGCTTTCCAGTGGAAGCATGACAGAGTTAATTCCTTGATTGCCTAATTCGTTTCATGTGGACCAATCAAGTGATTAAGAAGGAATCCTCACCTACATGTTAGTAGATCAGTTTGGATGGCTGTAATAAAATATGGGCGGATCAGTAATAAATTAGGAAAATTTATGATCCACCCAGAGTTACGACGACGATCAGACGTTGTCGAGATAAAAAAGATGCTTATAATGAAAAGGTCGAAAGTATGTGGAAAATAATACGTTTTATCTCGTTATCAGTTTTAAATATAGCAATTTACATGCGCGTAATAAAATAATAAAGCCACTGGAAAATATCTATATTTAGGTTCATTTGATGGATGAGTCAACCAGTCCAAAGCCCAGCAGTTTTTTGCGCGTGGTTTATCATAATTGTATCATCTTGATTTAAACCAAATAAATAAATTATGCATAAAGTACAACAATAAATGAAAAAAATGCTCAGTTTGTGAGTTAGTGGACTAAATAAGTGAAATAATGGTGCGCTTTAGGCTTTGCATCAAATATGCAAAACCGCCGGCTAGCAAAATTGCAAGAAGATATTTTGAGTTTCCACAAAAAAACTGAAAATCAAACTGCCGTTTATTTACATAATAAACATATTAAAGCCCGGCTACCAAGAAACGATTGATATTCCTATCTGATTATATGAAAGCCAGGCTATAAATATTAATTATCGTTGCCGACAGATCTGATGTCGGAGAAGGCCGAAATTAAAAATTCTAAAAGATACTAATTATAAATTACCCTAAATATAAATTGCCGGGACTAATCCTAAGGCTTCGCAGTAGCATTCTAGATGCCCCAATAATTAACGCCGTGAAAAATGATCGGGTTGATCCAAACTGGAACATTCAACCAGTACGAACAGGACACTGTTGAAACGCGCACAGATTTTCGAAAATTTTCATAAAATACCATTCTGATACCCAGTAAGGACGCGAACAAACTAAAGTAGCTTAGCATGCTTTCCGACGGTAATTTGTGACGAAATAAGGGGAAAATTATTAAATTACAAAATTACATCGCCCGCTTAAACAACAGTCTTTATTTATGGCTGTGGCATGCCAACTCTTCACTGATGGCTGCCCAATCAAAACGAAAAAAAATGATGCAACGGCAACGTAATTTAGACTGATTTGTTTAAATCGATTTAGCGGTTTCTCTAAAATTGCTTCTTGAATGTTTGAAGACGCAAAAGTCTTTATCGTTTTACAGATGGGAATAATTTGAAGTGCCGTAGATACATTTTTAGAATCTTTGTAGAAAGAACTGTTATACTTTTACCAGCTTTTCAGGTTTAGTTTAAAAATTACATAAAAATGTAATTTTGGTCAAAGGTGTACAACCATCTAAGGCATTTGCAACTTAAACTTAAACAAGGAATGAGCTCTATAACGATGAAAATTTGAATTATTTACGGTTTCTGCGAGTCGCATCCAGCTTTATAAAAAATGCCCAAAAAGCCCACAAAGGCTGAAAATCAACACTTTACATGTATAATCGATGCAATTTTCTCGCACGAACTTAAGTGTTTCGAGGCTGTCCTAAGAATTAAAGTGCAATTTAGCGGTAAAAATATTGCCAGTTTTGCAAGAATAAAAAGTGCATTCGATGTTAAAAGAAGGCAAAGCGAAATTTGTTTTGTCCACAGTAGGAACAGTTTTTTTTGGAAACTCGAGTACTAAACTACAGGAGGATTCAGCAGGAAAACGGCAATGAGAACAATCGGGAATTGCAATAAAAGCACGGTAATATTTACACTGACTATATAAAAAATCCAACAATTAGACAATTTGAGACGCATCAGCTAAGGAATAATTTTACCTAATTACATCACTTTTAGAGTATTCTTTCAATAAATCTAGGCAATTTCGGGAGAACACGAAATACTCATATTCATAGCCGAATTGTTCGATTTCTGATTCTGACTGGATATCCCATAGTACAAGTCATCGTCTTCGTCCAGCAAGGCCTGCATTTTCTTCTTGTATCTGCAAATGAACAAATAAAGGATAAAACTCCGCTCCTTTTAGCTCCAGAACTGTTCCTGAACAGGAAAAACTATGGCTAGCAGTATTGGTACAGTACAGGTTGCAAAAACATACATTTCACTGTCGGGATTATTTTCAGGATTCCTGCACTTATCCAGCTTCTTCTCCAATGACTTATTTTTATCGCGTGAAGCTTCCGCAGTCTTTTCCATGGATCGGATAGCTGATGGAAGAAGAAAAACTCCATTAATGAATCATTAATGAGTCATTTTCCGCGAATTACCTCGAACGGCGCCTATCAATATATCCAGCTTATCTTGGCCTCCCGTGCCAAAGAGCACATCGGTTACATAAGAATCCAAATTTTCTTGCAGTTTGGAGGCGGCATGTAGGACGGCGGCCAGCGCTACCTGGCTGGGAGAATACAGTAAAATCGCATCAGTTAAAAAGACTCTGTCTAAAAATTGCTCGGTGCCTTGTCGCAACCGTTCCGGGTCGTGCAAAGAGCCTCTAGTCTAAAATGAAAAAAAAACGAAGTTGGTTGAATCGGGTGAAGCTCCCAACAATCAACCTACTTTAATATCAATGAGCAATCCTTCTACTGGTCTAAAGGGGTTGTGGATAGCCAAATGGAAATTTAATTGCTCCATTAACAGTAACTCATTATTCAATATGACATCGGAAGCCTTTTCGCGATCCCCCTTAATATTAGCGACGAACTGTTGAATTGAGACGTTGAATTCCTCCACCTTGCACGCCAGGTATATGCATGTCACCCTGAAATATTTACAGTCATTTAAGCAAAAAATTAGATGTTTACACTCACATTATCTCTTTGGGATGGTAATTCATCACAGAGTTTTGGATGTAAAACCGTTTAAAGTAGTGAAATGCGGTCCCAAGCACGCAGCGAGGCATTGGCGGCTGAAATCGCTTACAGAAGTCCTTCAGTTGAATTTCATACAATTTTACCATGATCTTCTCCTCGTCTGGTGTGAGAAAATAGTCGCTTTTTGAAGAATCCTGAAATCAATTTTAGGTATCATGAATAAATCACCAGGCAAAAGCAACTCCTTTGAAGCAAAGGGCATTTGCTTAGTTTCTAGTGAATAATGATTCGCTTTTGCTTGGTGGTAAATGATTTGTTAACACGTGAATGCTTCTCACAGAAATTAAATAAATTTCCATTACTTACAGGCACCGTTCTGCCATAGAGCTGGATGTGTTTGCTGTTTGCCTTTCCCCTCAAGCTATTCAGTTCATCTTCGCTACCAAACATCCAGTACTTGCACTGAGTACTTGTGAGGAACATTTAGAAGTATTAGTTTGCTGTTAAGCACGGAAATTCATTAAACAAAAAGAGCTCCGGAACCAACCAACTGCCGAAGAAAACAAATTGAAAATTTTGGTTTGGCACATGCAACATCTTCTCTATGTGTTCAGTATCGCGCTGCTGCCGGGCGGTGCAACAGGAAAGGTTTGCATTGAATTCTATTGGCGTATACTTAAATTGTACTTTTTTTTTAACTTGAGATTTTAACAAACTTGCAATTATTTCCGCATACAGCTAGAAGTTAAGTGTAAAATGTTGGTTTTGGATATTTGCTTTCTGCGAAATTGGCAACGCTGTAGCAAAATGACTAACGTTAACACGATAAAGACGTGGATAAAGACACGTAACCTGCAAACTGGTATCATTTTTTGTAAAGTGTTGTAAACTCAAGACCGGTTCTAGATTCTTTATAGTGAAATGGAAACCGTTAACGACGAAAAGCCCCGTGTAATCTTAACAGAACATAAAGTTGTTGAGGTAAGCAAGCCGCCAAAAACCCCAAATCAGATTCCCCATGTTTCACATGTTCTTTCAGAATTTTCCGCAGGGCCCCACAGTCTATGACGACCACTTCGATGCGAAGTACTTCAAGAAAAAGCTGCAAATTGTCGTAATCCGGCGTAATAACACCGACATGGAATTCGACCTGATAGGCATCCAGCATTTTCTGGCCAACACGTTTCGACGGTTGATGCTCAGCGAAGTCCCAACTATGGCCATTGATAAGGTCCACGTATTGAACAACACCTCCATTATACAGGACGAAGTGCTGGCACATCGGCTGGGCCTCATTCCTCTGAAAGCCGATCCGAGACTGTTCCAGAGCGTTGCTGATGGTGAGTGTTCATCAATGTTAATCAGTTCTTTTCCGAAAGAAGTCAACATAAAATGGGTTGCTGGCCAAAAACGACGAAACTCAGACATCAAAGTCTTGAGCAACATTTTTATGTGATGAAGTAAAAAGAATGTTTTCAGTTAACGAAGCCCCAACGGAAAAAAACACTTTGGAATTCGAACTGAAAGTTAAATGCTCGCACAACCGGGAGATAAGCAAGAAGGAGTCTTCCAGAGCAGAGGACATCTACAAAAACTCCAATGGTAAGTACAGTTTCATTCGTCTCATGGTCCCTTCTGATGGTCTCGTTTAATGGTTGCAGTGTATTCGAAGCAAATCAAGTGGGTTCCAATCGGTAGCCAAAGATCTCGATTTAATGAAAGTGACGTCGGCCCAATCCACCAAGACATTCTCATTGCCAAAATGAGGCCTGGACATGAGCTTGATCTTAAGTTGTTTGCGACTAAAAGCAATGGGAAAGATCATGCAAAGTTTTCACCTGTCGGTAAGTAACAATCAACTCTGGGCTAATTGTTTCTTATAGTTCAATTTGGTGTAAAATTGAGGTACTCACATGATTTTTTAAATTTCAGCTACCGCATTCTATAGACTGTTGCCAGACATTAAAATCGTCAAGCCAGTGGAAGGTGAGGCGGCGTTTCGGCTTCAGAAGTGTTTTTCCCAGGGGGTAATCAGCGTCAGGAAGGAGAATGATCGACAGTATGCTGTGGTAAACGAGAGTCATGCCAGATACGACACAGGCTGCAGAAACGTTTTTAGATACGACGACCTCAAAGACTCAGTAGTGATGTCGAAAATTCAAGATCACTTCATATGTAAGTGCTGAATGTTTTGGTATTCGGGGGAACTTTTGGAAAAATTATGTTCTTTTCAGTTACCATCGAATCTGTAGGCGCTCTTCCACCCGACGCTATATTTCGAGAGGCACTTTCTGTTCTAAAAGCCAAATGTTCTGCTCTTCTAACCGAATTAAACGTCTAAAGCCTTCCTAAACTGCTAACTAGCTCAAACTTCCATTCCATTCGTCCCTAAATATTCCCTATCAAATTTTGAGGATCCAAGTTGAAATTGAATTTTAAAAAGTATGATACCAATATAAGTGCTGCGCACCTGTTTAATCAATTATACAATGGATTTAAAAAATACCGTATTTTTTGCCCAGTTTCAAATATATCCAGAAAGTTAAAATCGGGAAAAAAAGGACAATCGAGAAATTTCATAGAACGCAATTTGCAGATTTTATTTGAGTTTATTTTATTTGAGAAAATATTATTGTATACGTCCAGCGTAGAGCTCTCTCTTTTCATCTCACAATCGAAACGAGACAAGAAAATCAGTGACAAACTTTATGTTAAATGCACACTTGATACCAGGAGTTAATTGTTCCCGAAAGTTGCTATTTTGGAGAATAGGAACATATTTATTAAATGTAAAACGTATTATTTTACCATCACAACTATTTTACGGAATTTGACTTGTTTGTAAACCCAGCCTATAACTCTTGGTCTATGAACGTAACCTTATTCTGCAGTTATGTTTAGTAGCGTTGTACGGCGTATGGTTAGCTAATAAACATAGAGTTTTTGTTGAAAATCACAGCCTCAAAACGATGGCTTCTAGACGTACAAGGGTAAAGGCAGTTGCCAACTTTACTCATAGGAAAAAGCCGCCTCTTTCCTCGGCAGTAAACTCCACTGAAGCTTTTTCTGCAGACGATTTGGAGCTTCCAACCTCTTCCAGCTCGACTATTATTGAGAAAACTTCAATAATTCCCCAGGAAGAATGCTGCGACTTAAAAGCGAAGATCGCTCCAGCCAGTAATAAAATTGTGATACTTGATGATTTGAAAGTTCGACCCGCGCCCCAACCAAACGGCGAGGCACCGAAAGTGCCGCTTAAAAGCCCCATTAGTGAGAAATGTGCGTCTTCGGTTGAAACTCAGCCAGCAGATTACCCTCTCCCCGCATGTAAGTTATTGATACATTTGCTGATTACTGGTCTTCGATAGCATTGTCTTCATTTAGCTCCTGTGAAGAAAATGATCTTGGATTCCTCTGATTCGGAATATCCTGCACCATACAGTCCGAGTAAAATCAACAGGAGCCGAATACGTCCGATTCCGCGGCTGGATACGAGGAAACCCAGCGCGAGTGAGTCGGAGGATGAAAGCAGGCGCTATGGCAGGAAGAGGCACAACTCGGTATAAACTACTGAAACATTGCTTGCCGCCGTATAATCCGCATGTTTGTTTCTGCAGGTTTGCTCGGTGGCGTCAACAGTTTGCCTGGAGCCCCAAACCCCAACGACCCCTCATCTGGAGCAAAAGGACACAGCGCATGCAACACCTAAGAAGATATTCAGGAACGAGCAGACCAGAAGACTGGCCGAAGCAAGGCGCGACTTCCACAAACGTTTTGGCAGCGCAGCCCCTGATAAGCAACAACTAAGAATGATCGATTTAATATTTTATAATCCCAACTCAAATCCTATGAGGTAAGCAACCGGTCAAGCCTAATTTAGACGATGAGGAAAAAATTTGTAGCCAGAAGACTGAGAGAGACAGGACTCAATCGGAAACCACAGTGAAACAGGTCAAGAGCGAAGCAGTTGATGATCCAGCCGCGCCTGAAGCTGAAGAAAACGAGCCCGAAAGCAGTTTGCCAGTGCCGCAAATAAAAATCGGACCATCGGGGGAAATTATCCTGGACGAACAAAGCGTGGTAATGGAAAATACGCAAGTCGCCAAACAGAAGGAACAAATACAAAAATCCAAAATAGTAGACGGAGATTCTACAGCTACTTATGGGATATACAAAAAGGTCGCCAGATCGCTGCCATGGAGCCAGAAGGAGACGGTTCGCTTCTACAAAGCGCTCAACTTGATAGGCACCGATTTCACGCTAATGGCCACCTTGTTCCCGACCAGGAGCAGGCGAGAGCTGAAGATCAAATTTAAGAAGGAGGAAAAAAACAACATTCAACTTGTCGAGCGCGCCATCAAAGACCCGTGCAGCTATAATTTCGCCGATCTGAAGCGCGAGGTGGAGGTCGAGCGGGAGGAGGAGGCAATTTTGCAAAAAATCAAAGACGACGAACTGCGAAGCAAAACAGAGCCAACTGAAAAACAAACCAGAAAGAGAAAAAGTAAGTATCGATAGATAGGGTTTTCGTGTATTTGTAGTTACATTAATGGCATGTTTTAGGAAAAGAACCCAACAGATCTGCCCCAACCGCACAAAAACTGCCAACCCATGCACAGAAATCAGTACATTCCGATGATGAAGCAACCGAACTTTCCAATGGAAAAACTCCAGCTGGTATCGAGTCTGCCGGTGGTAGAGACGGGGATGCAGATATTTCGGATTTCACCCAAAGCGACACAGATGAGGAAGAGTTCATACCGTTCCTCAAACCCACTAGGTTTGGAAGAATGCCCAAAAGCACATTGAAGTTCAACGAGCCGCTCGATTTGCCCGGCAAGTGCACGGTTCCCAAAAAGAGGCCTTACAAGAAAGCGGCAAATATTGACAAAACACCTTCCCGTTCTTGTTCCCCCTCACGACTCCCAGTTGGACTCTTGAGGGATCGGCGACTTTCCAGCGCGTCCAGTGTGGACTCCAATGCGGAAAACCTTGTCCCAGGGGCAGTGATTATCACTGCGGAAGAGGACGCGAAAGGCCAGCAGCAGTATAAAGTGTTCATGGTTACGCCTGAAAAGAAATTGGCTCCTGTGGAAATGGACTCTCAGGCTATAGCAACTCTAGTGGCCGAAAAATCGGTGGCGGAGCTTCCTTTAACGCCCAGTTTGCCAGAAAGGAACGTTACAATTCCAGCCAGCTCAGTAGACAGTCAGCTGGAGCCTTTAACGGAAGCAGGTAATGTTGCAAAGTCAGGCCAAGGGAATGAGGTTTCAGTTGAACACAATAATGTTGCAATAAATTGCACAGAAAATGGCAGTTTGTCTCAGCCAAACGACAAGCTGATTCCAGAGGAACCACCAGGCAATAATCAATCTTAGTTGTTGGAGGATCAACTGAAACCCTCATTGCCTGGCACCGATGAAAGCGTATTGCATTCTTGCCTAGAATATG